TATATATATATATATATATATATATATATATATATATATATATATATATATATATATAAAGCATTACATAAGAAAGCTCAACTATGTAAGCAGATGAGACTTTAGCTACTTTTTAGACAAGTCTATAAAGTGTAAATGAAAGGGAAAAGGGGTCCAGAGCATAGGGGATCTTCAAACGTTTCCCTCACAGATACATTAAATAAAAACAAAAACCTACTTCTCATTTCCTCTTGGATTCAGTTGTTGTGCAGGTTATATTGTAACACTTAAATTTGTCAACAATTTGATGAGTACATTCAGTTGACATGAAAAGTCTTCAGATAACCTGCCTGTATGTACAATGTAAAATGTATGGAGCTTTCATTGTGTAACATCAACTGCAATGTGTTTAACTGTAAAATGTTCAATTGTTGCATGAGAGTGAGTTCTTAGATAAAATATAAATATAAATAAAAGAAACATGTTAGCAAAAGTGTAAGTTAAATTGATTTAAAAAAAAAGAAAAATGTCAATTTTTTAACATATAAGAAGAGTATAAAAACATTCAATAGACAGAAATATTAATAAGAAATTTGTTGTGAATTTTATTTTCCTATTGCAGCACTGGCAGACTTTATAAAGCCTCGATTTTAGAGTCCCTACAGAAACGATGAATAATGCATGAATAAAACCTCTTATTCTCTAAATTTTAAATGGCTTGCTGTTATCAAAATAACTTGATCCATGTAGCACTCGAAGGCTTGCACGCAACACAGTGTCTTCTGAGTTTTGCAGAAGAAAAACGGCACAAAGTCCAAGTTCGGCAGACCCTTATTACAAACCTTTTATTTTTAATTTCTTCATTACTTAAAAAGTTGTCTTTTAACCATAACTTAAAACAAAAATAATAATAAAAAAAACAACAACATGTAATTCATTCATAAATTATGTTAAGCAAATAGAGTAGTTTACTTTCTAAATTATCTGAACTTAATTACTAAAATGGGAAATAAAACAACTGACTAACTTGCAAAAAGCTAGAAATAAGATTTAAGCTTTGGACTCCCTCTACTGGCTTACAAGGTGGCCTGACAAAAGAGACACTGAGACATCCCCTCGTTTGCTGCATGCTACATAGGACGCAAAAAAATTAAATAAGAAAGGACACAAAAAAGGAAGGGCAGAAGGACAAAAAGAAGGAAGGCAGGATACAAGACTGAAAGGACAAAAGCGAGAAAGAAACAAGGACAGAAGGAAGGAAATACAGACAGGGGGAGGAGGGACTTTACATTCCATCCCCTTTAGACAGAGTGATAGAGAAAGAAAATAAATACCAACAAAATATCTTTCCTTTCTCCAATTTATTTTCTTCTTCCATACATATCAAGAGTTGGAAAATCTTGAAATGAAATTCAGCACTTTGAGGCTGTGCAGGAAGCCTGCCAACAAAGAGTTTTGAGTTAACACACTTGATCAAAAGTTTGTTACTGACTCTTCTCCAAGGTCTCTTATCCAAACAGCTGCAGACAGGCCCATTACTCTAAAAGACAGCCTTATAGACAGTAAGAACTGATAAAGATTGATCAATACTATTGAACACTTCTCACCTTAGTATGGATAAGCATGCACGGCCATGATGGACAGAGAGGGCATTCACGTTAAACAGAAGATTTTCAACAACCTTTCACACAAAACCTGTAAAAAACACTTAAGGGACAACTACCTTCCAATGAAAGTTTCAATGAAAACATGCTTGAAATTTCACCAATTTTCTATGGCAAAAGTCATTTAGAGCTAACACCTGAGAAAGGGGTTCAGCTATGGTTAAAATTGGTCGTATTTAATGTAGTTTGGTAGACGTTTGGACCAGTGGTGAGTATGTATGAATTGATTAGCAAGAAATATACCTAGCATGGGTATAAGAAATGACATCATGAGTGCAACCAGAGGTTGTTAAAGCATGTCAGAAGAATGAGGGAAGACCACAAGACCCAGAGGCAGCATCAGACAGAGTTTGATGGGGAAAGTGTTTCTAGTTTCCATTAGACAAAGTTATGAAATTGTGCAAATTCCTTGCACCATACATTATGTGTTGCCACACTGTGTTGGAACCAGCAAGACCAAAAATCATTGGTAGCTGCACGATACAACCACCTCATGTCTTGGAAACACAAATTTTAACCCGGTCATAAGATTTTAAAAGATTGTCATGTCGGTAGATGCTCCAGCAACTTCCTATGTCACAACTGCAAGACTGGAATTACCAAAACTTCAACACTTGGGCTACTTCATAATGAAATCATTACACTCCCTGTCACTGGTCTGAATGTTTACCAAAGAGCATCTAAGTCAGACCCTTCCTTTTAGTGCTCAGCTGTTTATAATCAGGAGAGTATGATGATGTTTAGCTGTTGCAGATGAAAGCAAGGTAATCGACACAGGAGGGTAGTTCTCTGGTTCGATTCAGGAATGCATACTTTAGTGCAGACCAGTGGGACATGGGTGAGAAACATTTAGAAGAGTTCCTATACACTCAGCACTACTTAATATAATTCTCAGTGTCCTCTGGACAGTTGTGTCAAACTTATTTTCATGTTAGTCCATATGAAGATCATGAATGTGCTCAAAGGATCAGTTCACTAATCTTCCTTTTGATTTTAAAATACTTTAAAGATGGTTTCTAATCCGTTGTGAAGAGACTTAAAGAGGGTTTTTGCAGACTATAGAAGAATCTTTAATGCGTCTTTGATAGTTTTTTTAAAAATATATATTTTGAAGAGCCATATACGAAGAGCCGTTTTTTTTATTTGTGGTCGAATGAAATGAGCAAAAAGTGCATTTTGGTTCTTCTTGTCTTATTTAAAATAATTAAAACACCAGCAAGTAAAACTTGCTACATTGTCCCTTTTATTGATAGTATCACACTGTCCAGATGAAGTTGAGTCCTTATCACACTTTTTTAAGAAAAAGTAGCACGTTTTAGTATAGGCTACAAAAACATTGCTCCCCACAGCCACAGTAAAAGATGGCTGCAGAGTTAACTTTTACCAAAAATATTAACTAACAGGACTCTTTTTATATATATTTGTAGGTGTTATTATTATTATTATTATTATTATTATTATTATTATTATTATTATCACAAAGAATCTCATTAAAAGTACATTTCTACATGTGAGGCTTGTATATCTGATGCTTTTTATGTTATTTTTCTTAAATATTTGGAGATCATTCCATAAGAAATATGTCAAACAGCTACATTCAAGACAGTGCGATTTTCTGACAACACAAACAAATGGGATAGTTTCAGACAGGAAGTGATGTCCATGTGGTGTAGGAAGTAAAACACGGTAAAGCAGCAGCTCGACACGGTTGTTATGGGTTTGCAAGCCGCCTCGACGCTCTTTTTTTTTTTTTTTACTTCATGACATTTTTAAGATGGACGTAAGATAATAAACAGAAAACTTTATCCTACACATTCAATATATTGTTTATTCAAGACCCCTAACGTAACTTGCATTCCGTGATCTAAACATTACCTGGCTTTTTCCATCATGTTTGTTTCATCGCTGAAACTCGTCTCCACTTGTTATTTATGAAATGAGTGATAGCTCCGGGATAGGACTCATCTGCTGGTTACAGTTTCCACCAGTTAAACGAGTTCAAACTGCTCGACTGGTTTCACCTACCATACTTACGTGGCTTCAAGAATTCACTCCCACTTCAAAGTCAACTCTGGAAATCTGAGCCCTGGGTGGATTGTTTTTTTTTTGGTTTTTTTTTTCCCCCATAGTTCACTTCCTCCTTTAATACTGAAGCATTACAGACTGAGTGCTACTGTATCAACAAGCGTGGTATGTCCCCGAGCAAGGAGTCGAAAAAGGGGGAGTAGTACGCAGTAAAAGTTTTGCAAGTTTTAATTCGGGTCATTATGAGTGACTTGAATGTAAATGGGGCTCTGACTCGCAGAAGAGGGGCGACTCTGCGAGCTGCGACGGTGCGGGCGGCGAACGGGGATTCTGCAACGGGGACGGCGAGCTTAGTGGACGGCGACGTCAGCCTCCACGATGGACAGAGGACACGGGAGAGTTTCCTGGAGCTGGCCGCTGCAAAGAGCGAGAAAAAGAAACGCAGGGGTGAAGTCGGTGACCGACTGAGGTAAGAGAGAGACCGCCTTAGAAAGAGCTGGACGTTTTTAGGCGTTTGTTTTCAACTCTTGAGCACGGGGGATGCAAAAGGTTCTTCTGCAGAGATACGTTTGCTTCGTAAATGTTGGAAGTGACCTCAAATGCTATGGTTGTCCAGCAGAAGTGAGAATAAGTGGGCCTGGGTCGTCTGATCGACTTAAACACGCCCTGTTAGCTCTCTCTTGACATGCACTTATCATTCATTCAATGATACTTTGTCGTAAAGCTCCTATAAGGTTTATTTTTTCATAAGAAACGAATAAAAATCCACATAAATCGCATAACAACCTGCCTGTCTACAGCTACTTTGTTTCTCTCATAGCTCATTAAACGTGAACTAATTCAGTCACACCAGACCACGTGACACAACACAACGTGACTAAATCCTTACCTTTATGCTACTTTATAATTTGCTAAATGGTGAATTGATGGAATCTCCTTTGTTAATTTTATTTAACTACCACTCCCTTAAAGAATGGGACAGAAGTTGTCTTTGTATTGTGTCATACATTGTGCAACATTAATGTGTTTTGTGAGTGACCAGTCTTGTTTGGCACCTGCTGTTGTAAGATGATCAGAATGTGGTAAAACTAAAGTCAGGAATCCCTTGTCCAAAATTGAATTAGGCCATATTTTATTTAGAAATATGACCATATAAATCTTGCACTTTATAGAGGTATAAACCAGAGGTCCTCAAATCCAGGCCTGTTAGGTTGGAGTCCTGCAACCTGTAGATGTGTCTCTGCTTCAACACCGAGCCAAATAAGGAGATCATTATTAGCACTATGGAGAACTTGACTACATACTGAGAAGGTAATTCAGCCGATTGATTCTGGTGTGTTGCACAAAAACTGCAGGACACATGCATGGATTTGAAGGCCCCTGGTCTAGACTTTGATTAGGCCATTCTAACCCATGGATAAGCGTGGTCGTTGTCCTGCTGGACTGGGGACAGTCTCAAGTCCTTTAGAGCCTCTAACATGTTGAGTTTTAGGCTTGTCTTGTAGTCTGAACAATTTTTCTTCTCCACACTGAATAAATACATCCCCACAACATGATTTTGCCCACACCATGTTTCTCTGTGGGGTTATAGTGTTCTGGGTAAAGTGCAGGTGCAATGTTTTCTGTGTCAACCACTCGGGTTGTGGCAATCTGGATGTTCGATTTCTCTAATTCTCCATTCTTATAAGGACCCATTTAGTAAATGAGGAAATCACTGAAAAGTTAATCTAGTTCAGTAACTCAATTCACTAAGTATATAAGTTATAATACTCAGATTGATGTGTGTACAGCTAATAAAAACACATTACGGATTAGAATATTACATCTGACCAATAAAAAAAGAAGAAATGACGTGTTAATGAAAAACAAGTAATGCCTGCTTGAAACCTATTTGAATATATATCTTAATGTATTAAACATGACTATTTTTTTTCAGTTTCTGTACTTTTGAAAGAGGTTCATAGAATGATTGTCTTATTTCATTGTCTGATTTTATTTTATTTTTTTAGAGAAACTTTTAAATGCAGCATTTGGTGACAAGTGATTAGCACACAAAACAGTTTTTCAATATTTTTGTGCTTCCTTTGTGTTATTATTTTCCTATTTATTTTTTTATGCAAATGTTTGTAAATTGCTGATATATTTTATGCAGCGATTAATGCTGACTTTTGAAATACTCAATCTGTAAAATATGTTTTTTTTTAAATAAGATAATGGAACACAAACTAACTAATTGCACATTTTTCATTATGCTATTTATTAGAATCAGGTTTGTACCAAAAGACTTGTGCAGCGCAGTATTTTAAATTATTACATGTTGCCTGTGGTTCTCGTTGGGTTCATTATCCTGCCTGCACATCTGAGTATGCAGGGTAATGAGACACAAACGTCTCTTCTTCTCTTTAGTAATCAAACTTTGAAACACATTTTAATTTAGCTCTAGAGTCAGATGGATTTAAATTGCTCTTCTGCTCATCGTCTTATTTGTTTGGTTGCTGTAGCTGTCACAAGGCACAGGAGTCTCTTTTGAGTTCTGCCAGCGGTTATAGGAACTACAGAGGAGTAATCAACTGGTGTGTGGTGATGCTGGTAAGTTTTATTTGTCTTCCCTCAAGTACTTTGACACATACAACATTTAATATGTTCCATGCGTACTTCTGCCACTTTTTACTGCTTGTGAAATTATTGTGTGAGCTCTCACGTCCATTTTAGGTGCCAACGTTTTCTAAATTCATAACCAATGAGTTTTCAGCTGGTGTTAAAAATAATATTTCACACAATAGACGGTCAGCTGTCGTCTCGGATCTCAAAACGATCAGCTTCACTTTGCTGAAGAAGCTGAACTTGTATTTCTACACAATCAGTTATTAATTGTTTCCTCTTTGGTCAGATGGTATAACAGTTGTTTCCATTAACATTTAAATTATAGCTGAGTCTGTGTTTTTTTTTTTTTTTTTTTTAAAATTTGCTTTTATTTTTGCTTTTAATAGGACTACATAGATGAGATGATTACCATAGGTAACATCAACAACATAAAAATGTACTTTACAATATTTGAAACTGGACTCGATTATAATATTGAATAGAGAAAAATGATATTAAAGCAGCAAATTTATTTTCTGCCCTTATTATTGACTGCCAGATCAATAAATAATACAGATAAATGTGTGTTTCTTTCAGTTAATTGAATATATTAAAGCTAGGATCTCTAACCGTTTTCATCTGTTGTCATTTTGATTTAATACAAAATCAGAAAAAGGTTCGGGGCATATTCTAATAAGGATAATCTAATGCTGAATGTATGTGTGCTGCCTCTGTCAAAGAACTTGCTGCACAGTTTTGCTCTTCCTTATGAGTCGTAGTGCTAAGAAAAACAAATGATATTGAATTAGCCACGTTGCAATGAGTAAGTCAGTTCCAGGAATGAAAAGCCTCACAGGTTTTTCTTTGTATTTGTAATCTGTATTACTGCGAAACAATTTGAAACTGACAATGTTTTGTTTTTTTTCCCTGATGTTCTGTTTTGCTACAGGTCCTGAGTAATGCTCGTCTCTTTTTAGAAAACATTTTAAAGTGAGTATGTTTAAAAAAAAAAAAAAAACTTTAAAATAACTTTTAAAGTTGTTTAAAAGTTATTTAAACAACTTTTTTGCTGCATTTATATCCGATAGAATGAGGATTTTTATGTGACTATAGTCTCATAAATTTGACGTGAACAAACTACTTGTTATATAATTGTTTTTATGTATCTATAAATAGTGTTGTTGCTCTTTAAACAAGATGCTTTTCATCCTGGAAATAATACATTATAATAAATATGCTATTTATTATAATAATTAAAACATTTGAGAGTCAGCTTTGGGCCGTGGAACTTTACCTGTTAACTCATTAACAAAACTCACTGGAGCTCTGAATTCACTGTTGCTATCAGAAGTGGAATCATTTGGTGTTTATAAAGTCAGTGCTTCAAACACAGGAATTATTTAAAGTACTTAATTATTTAAAGCTCTCAATTTTAATCATTTAAATATTGTGTGTTCTTCACAGCAATGGAGACGTTGTTATTTCAAACATGTCTTTGCATATTCTTCCAGGTATGGTATTCTTGTCGACCCCATTCAAGTCATTTCCTTGTTTCTGAATGACCCCTACAGCTGGCCTGCAGCGTGCTTGTTGATTGGTAGGTAAAAAAAAAAAAAAAAAAAATCTATATTATTGTTTACCAAACAACTTCAAAAAGTAATGCATTTTCTCATGTAATCTTTTTGTTCATTTAACATTTTTGAAAGATCATGTTTAAAAAAAACAACAACAAAAAAAAACAAAGGATAGTTTCTGGCAGGTTCACGAAATATGCAAATGACATTTTCTAAGTATGTCGCTGTTTGAAAACTAAATTAAGATTTATGTATCTGTGTGGGGACACAAGCTGCAGATGCTGGTTTTGGATTTCAAAATTTTGTATGCGAGTCTTGCGTCACCAGACCAGTAAGTGGCTTGAAAGGAGTAGTTTGTTGAACATTTGACATTATGAAGGTGAAAAATCTTCTGAGGGATTTCCTACAGAAAGATTTGATGTGTTTCATATTTGAAACGACTTGTAGTCGTATACGGAGCCTCTGAAGTCTCTGAAGGATTTGGTTAAACTCTTTCAGATCACCATGGCTGAGAAAATTTTCATCACACAGGTGTGTTGATTAAGTGGATGATGAATGCATGAGTTAACCTCAACAACAATAGGTGAACTATGATTCTTCACCAAACAAAAGTAGAGAAAGACTTCTGCTAGAGGAACACAGAAAAGTTTTTTTTTTTTTTTTTTTAATGCAAAATTACATGTCTGAGCCTTTGTTGACTATGGTAATTAGAGACAAAGAGAGTTGATGATTCAATCATCCAGGAGTAAAAGGAGGAATTTAACACTAGATTAAGTCTTTCTCTTTCACTGCAGTTTATTAATGAGTTTTACTGGCCAGTAGTTCTTGCATGTTATTAAATAAAACAAAATCTTTAGTTTAATACTGCTGGTTACAGTACTCATGTCTTTTATTTATGTAGGCCACTGTCATATTTATTACCCAACTAGACATAAACACCTTTGTACTTAAGAAAAAGAAAAAAAAAACAAGCAGCTTTCCAGATTGAGGTATGAAGAGCCGTAGTTATAATAAGATGACTATTATTCCTTAATGCAGTCAGGCGATGTTGAATTCCTAAGCATGGGAACTTTGCTGCATACCTTCCCTCCTCTCTGTCTTATAAGTGTTAGAGCCACTGGCATTACAAAAATCTATGAGAATATCTATCTTTCTTTAATAATGACTTTTTATTCTCGCTGTCTTTTAAATCTGTGTCGCCAGTGACGTTGTTTCAACCACCTTGTAAACTGAGTTTTGAAGGAAGTGATTGCCAGCGAATGAAAAGCAAACATGCACAGCTTGTAGTGTTACCCAAGACACAGGAGGCACATAAGCTTTTAAGATGAAGCAAAGCAGACTGAAAAAGAAAAGAAAAAACACGATTATAGCAAATCTAACTAATGTAGCTAAGGGAGTAAGAAGGACATTTAAGAGTCCTTTGCAGGTTTGTTGTATTGATTGCTAACGTATATAAATGGAAAATTATTATGTCAAACTTCCAAGACAAATTAGTAGTCATTTACGATTACTCAGTGGTCCAACCACTGACTAAACCACGGTTGCAAAAGATAATCAAACAAATTTAGACGTTACATGTAGCATGCATTATGTTTTGGGGCCACAATGAGATCATTTAAAACTCTTTTATGTACGGCTGGGGAAAAAACATGTTGTATCTAACGTATTATTTTTTAAATTCCTCTCTTCCTCAAGTAGTGCAGTGAGTTCAGCCTCACGTAGAACTTGCCTTGTTTGCAGCAGCACACAGGTGCATGCTGTGCACTGCTGCAGTTCCTTCCATATTTATCCTTATGTTACATTGCAGTGAAGGTCTGCAGCAGTGCAGCTCGCAGTGTCTCTAGTGGGACAATCACCTGCCCTATATACCAACACTGGTACTCTCCTGCAGAGAAGTGGGGGGAGGGATCTGGGTGGTGAGCAACAGAGACAGGAGCGGAGAGGTAAGAAGTGGAGTAGGGGAAGTGTTTAATGGAAGATTAAATTAAGTGAGCGAAGATGTATGGAGGGCTGGGAAAAGGGAGAGGAGATGGAAAAAGAGGAGGTGAAATTCTGCATCAAGACAGGGAAAGAGCTTGAAGAGAAGGGAAAAATAGATGGAGTTGAGGCAAATGACTGCAGAGACGGCGGGTAAAGAGACAGGTGAGAATTGGAGTTTCTTAACAGTGGCACGGACAGGAGCAGGGCTCATTCCCCCACAGGGACACCGAGAGTCACTGCAGAAGCTTACACACACATTTTAACTCTCAAATGATGGTGCCTGCCAGCAAAATGGATAAAGTTTGCAAGGCCAGCCTTAGAAAGTTTTACATGTCAGGAAGTGGTTTATTAGGGGTGGATCAGCTTTTTTCATTGCTCTGCAAATGTGTTGCTCTGCCACATCCAACAGGTTCTACATGTAGGAGCTGGACAAGTTATTACAGTTACAGACTTAAATATTTCACTTCACTTTTAGGTATCTAACTGTAATTTGTGTTGTTTTGTTTTTTTGGCAAAAAATTATATAGCAGTATTTTTATTTGGCTTCAAACAAGATCCTGTTACAAGCTTTATTTGTGTTATTTTATTACATTGTCATTGAACACAATGTTAAAAAAATGTGATGTAATAATCCTGTTTTATGTAACCTCATATTATTTATTTAAATGTACTTTAATCTACAGTTCTACAAATCTACATTTCTCAACACTGGTGTATTAGAATAATTCTTTATTGGCAATATTTAATCAGTTCAATCAGTTTTCAGAGACAACTGAAGACTAAAGACAAACTGGTATAACTTTTCATAACAAAAGTAATTACTGATATGTTTTCTAACGTACTTTGATATTTAATTTCAAGTTCAGTCGTTCTTTATTTCTCCTTCACTCAGTTTAATATTCTTCCTGTAGGCTCCTGTTTGGTTTTAAAGGCATCAAATGCAAAGCTTTCAAACGCATATATAGAAACACCACAGTACATCATATGCAAAGTGTGCCATAAAAGGTAACAAAGGTCCCAAAGATAAACTAGAATAGAGTTTCCAGCATTAACATTTATATCATTAAGTTTAAACCAAATTAATAGATGTATAAAATTTTCATCACAAGCTCTCTCAGCAGCTTGCTCTGTATTTTGGCCATTCTTTCAACCAGAACCAGTGTAACTGAGACAGCCACGGCTTGTCTGTAGGCATCATTGCTGTCAACAGAATTTCTGTGGAACTGAAATCAGGACTTTGTGTAGGCCACTCATAAACTTTGAGCGATGTTCTTAAACGCTTTTGGTTGTGTGCTTATGGTTAATGTCTGGAAGACAAAATGTTCAACTTCTTGGCTCCTGTGTTGAGGTGTAATATCTATATTTTGACATATTGTGATTTCTACCTCTGTACTTCAGAATGTAAAGATGGCTGCTGTGAATACGTCTGCTTTCTCTAATCTACGGTGCATTTCTTCAGTGACCCCTCAAGGATTCGACATGTTGTTTGAGTGACTTCTTTTTTTCAGCTCCAGATGGCACTACAAAAATATGTTATCATTCCATGACTGGGCCTGCTACAATCAGCTGTCATTTGTATAATGGCAGCTACTCGGGATTGTTCTTAACATGATTGGATAATTGTCGTTACTGATTGGATCCACCTGTATATTGGGCACTTCTCAGGAAGTCATTTGTTTGCTTTCTTCTTTTATAGATGTGATCTGTGCACTATGTGCATATTTTGCTTGGAACAAGCACATTTTAGGTTTTATTAAAAAGTAACAAAAGCTTTTAGGCTTTATATTAATGATGACGCTACAGATTGGTCTGTTTAATTATAATGGTGTAGAAATTAACTGAGAGAGATAAATCACTAATTGCAAATACTTGCGTGAAAATTAATCATGCACCAAAACAATTATGGCTGCTTTTTGCATTGGTTTGCAAAAAAAAAAAAAAAAAAGTAGCTTATTTCTTTTTGCTAATGTGCAAATCCGAGTGTCTTTGCTCTCTGGGTTTTAAGCATAAAGGTGTAAATAATAAAGAAGTGGGTCTTCCGACACTTATTTTAATGTGTGTGTCTGTTAGAAAACTGCATGATGAATCCTTGATGCACAGGGACGTAAGCAGCCATCCATCGCCCCCTGCTGGTTAAAAATATAGACTTTGTCCCTACCAACAGTGTCTTCTTTGTAAATTTGGGTTAGTTCTTCAGGATTTGAGTTTGTCTTTTAAAAAAAATAGTTAGTACAACACAATGAAGAAGCAGTTCTAGACATGATAAAAAAAAACTTCTGTTTATCTTAAACCAATATACTAAGTGGGTCTTAACTGCGTTGTTTTCTCAATGTGTTTCAGTGTCTAATGTGTTCATTCTTGTGGCTCTCTACACTGAAAGGCAGCTGTCGAAGGTGAGCAGAGAAACTCCATACGCTTCTGAACATTACAGTTTTATTTTAATTGAAATATGGAAGTCAGAGCTTTTCTGTTCTGCAGAAAAGATATTGTTAAGACAAGCTGGCTGACCAGCTGATCTCCCTAGTTGCATCTGCACATGTTAAATGGCAAACTCTAGACACAAATCATTTTTCACCGTCTTCATTCAGTTCACTTCTTGGTTGAGTTGGGCTCTGTCTGTTTGGTGTTATTGTGTATATGTTCAGTTTTTCTCTCACTCAATACTAAGTAGGCCAGCTTTTTCTATAAATGTTATCAGTTCAAATGTTTAAAATATTAATGTTTACCTCCCAATATCAAGGCAGTGACTAAAAGTTTAAAGCTGTTTTTTTTTTGTTTTTTTTTTTTTTTTTTTTTTTTTTATTGAGCGGTTCTTAGAAATTTGGCAAAAATGCCTTTGAGATTTGATGTAAATGTGCTTACATTTCTCTTTTCCTTGTATAACCAGGGTTCATTGAGTGAATTTGCTGGATTTCTGGTCTACTGCATTAATTTATCAGTCCTGCTAACATTTCCTGCTGCTGTGGTGCTGTGGGTTCCCTCTATGACGTCAGGTAAATGTTTCTCACTATTGTCTAACAAAGACAAATGATCTTAAACAAAACCAAACGGTTATCCAGTTGTTTAGATGGGTAAACAAAATTATATTCTAACACCACAGAGAACTGCTTAACATTGATGGTTTGTTAAAAGGTATTTCCCAGAACAAGTCATAATTGAAGTCGGTCAGCGGCAGTAATGAACCAGTTGGTCATACCTGGATTGTTTCCAGTTGGCTGTAAAGGCAAGAGCAGGTCAAGAGGAGATGGAGGAAAGGAAATGAAATGAAAAGAGAACAGATGAGAAGAGAAGATGAGAGTTGCCAAAGGGGGCGTGGCTTGTAGCGTAAGGTCATCCAAGGGTCTCTTTATTATGTCTTAATCAGGCAGCTTGACAGCAACAATGGCTGTTTTCCATAAAAACCATGCAATATACCAATGGGTAGGATTGTTCTGTATAACAGGACAGTGGACAGCGTGTTTTTCTTTCTTTTTTTTCTTTTTAACATATCTGTGATAACTCTGGAGTTGCCTAAAAGGAATTTGGACACCTTTTTTACACCTCCAAACATGATGCTGCCATGCTTCAGTGTAGCGATGGTGTTGCAAGCTTACACTGTTTCCTCTAAATCAGGGGTGGCCAAGTCCAGTCCTCGAGAGCCACCATCCTGCAAGTTTTAGAAGTATCCTTACTCCAACAGACCGGGATCAGCTCTACAGAGGCCTGATAACGAGCCAGTCATTTGATTCAGGTGTGTTGAAGCAGGGATGCATCTGAAACTTGCAGGATGGTGGCTCTCGAGGACTGGACTTGGCCACCCCTGCTCTAAATGTACCAAAAATATTGCCAAAGATTTATCTTTTAAGGACAATGGCCCACAGAACATTAGGGGTGCTCTAATTGCAGTTTTCTGGCTGATGTCCGATTACCAATCTTTAAAAAGCCTGACCTGACAATTCCCAAATATAGCAAGAAAGTCACTGAGTTTGTAACGGTGGGTTGACTATTGCTAACTTCAAACGTGCAGCCGTGACCTGGTGGATGGGCCTGTCAGTCAAACCTCTCTCACAGCAGAGCAAAGAAGGACAGTGGTTGATTTTTAGACCTTTGCCGAGGTTGATGAAATCAGTGGAAAAGATCAACTCACATGCAAATATCTGTCGATCTCCCAAAATTAAAGTCTTTGTCCCAGTGGGCGTTTGAGAACTGTAATGTGGCGTCTTGTTTTACCTGGATATTGCAATATATTTTATATGTGCTTGCAGAGTACAACTGTGAAAGTATTCTACTAAAGGTAAAATTGTGAAACTTGAAAAGACACATATTTCACACAGATTTACACAGTTGGATTTTTCTTCATCCCAAATGTGAGACCAATTAGACACGAACTGGCGTATGCAGTTCTGTTAGTGTTGCATTAGTGCAAAGTTTAGTTTTCTGGACACTTGTGACTTTACCTGAGTCAACAAACATACTTGAAACTAAGTCTCCTTGTAAAAGCCATTTATATTTAGTCCCCCGGTAAATCATTGGTTTAAGGCTCTGTTCGCTGCCACTTTGGGTGGCATTCTCTTCTGTTTTTCCTCTCATCTGTTCTCTCCCTGGGAGGTGAAGGAGCGAGGGAGTCGCTCCATCTGTCTGTAAGCTCTCCCATCTCTGCTGCTGCTGTGCACACAGGAAGGGCAGTGGCAGAGGGCAGGTGTGTGTGCAGATATTTGTATGTGTGTTCAGTATATGCTGTGTTTTAGTGTCACATTTTGGGTGAGTTTAACGCCATTATCTTCGGGTTCAATTTGATCCCATTTATTTTGTCTGTAAGTGAATGCTTGACTTTTTTTTGCCCCATATCGAAGGACTTTTTTGTAATTTATTGGGAGAACTTGATAAACATAATGATCTGTTTTCAATGTCTTAATGAATTTATTAAGTGTGTGACTTGTAATTGTTTAAAACAAGTCTTTCAACTAAATACTACTCACATAAGATGTTAAAAAAGGCACTTTTTGTTGTTTTTTTTTACATGTAATGATGAAGTAGGTTTGATTTTTGTTCTTATTAACATCAAGAAACGGGTCTGGACTTGTACATATTATTTGAGGCTTTGCTCTGAAAAGGAAAAATAGAATTGGAAACCTCTCCGGCGATTTCTCTTGATTTGAGTGGGTGACTGAGAGACAAACTACTGGCTCCTCTGGGATGTTTTCCCGGTCGAGCTTTGCCCCCGCTGTGTGTTCATGATCACAATCTACAGTTGCTGATTTGGACACGGTCTCACTGTTTAGAGGCCACGCTGAGCCGGAGAGGCAGATGGTTAATGGATAAGATCTGCTGTGGTTTGATGCCAGGTGTAGTGCAGACCTCCTCTTCGCACTGTTGGCACAACAGAGGCGATTTTATTTGTGTTTTTGTTTTTTTGTTTCTTTTTTTCCTGGTGGCATATGAGCATCTGTTTGTTCTGTGACCAGCTCTGTCTCATTTCACAAAACGTATGGTGGCTATCGATGAAGCGCAAGCATAAAAACTACTCAGCTTGTTTGCGTGCTCTAAAATAACTGCAGATGTCTGTTTATCTACTTTGAAATCGGTTTTGCTTTAGTACACTTAAATTACAATCATAATAAACATGTTTTCTGTCTCCTTTATTTTTTTTATTCTACCTTCATTCTCAAATATGTTTTCCAGCTTTTGCTGATTTTATTTTTTATTTTTTTGCCTGTGTCCTCCTGACTCCCTTTATCATTTTCTTACCAAACCATGATTAAGCATATGTTCACGCTGCAACTTTTCCAGGAGGGTTTCTTTGGTGTCTGACACCATTTCTCTTCACTTCCTGTCAGTTGGTGGTGCGATTGCACTCGGCTTTTACACAATCCTCTTCCTGAAGCTGTATTCGTATGAGGATGTGAACCGGTGGTGCAGGGAGCAGAGCACCGCCAAGGCCAAGAAACTGTCCAGGTCACTGTCTTGTAAGTCATCCATATACATGCATGCTGTGCATCTTTTGGAGTCCTCAAAAGTTAGGCATATAATATTATATCGATCACATATGTTATATTTCAGCCTCTTCTCAAATGTATTTTTGCATTGTGGCTCACAATGTTGCAGTGACATCTACTGGTAAATTGTCTAACTAAAATTACAGTCATATTCGTTTTAGTTACTCAGTTTACCACATTATATTGATTAATTACACAGACCCTGATGTTTTTAAAACATTTATTGGTATTATGAGGATTTTTGCAATTAGAACAAATGAAAACATGACATTTGTTATTAGAATATATATATTCTAATGATAGGTATTGAACATAAAGATTATGTTCAATGCCTGCTTGAAGATTATTTTCAAAAGTTGCTTCTAATCTGACAAACTTCTTCAAAATGCATATTCTAATTTTTGAATATGAAGTATAAAAAAAAAAAATCTTGAAAATACTGGATTATATGTACAAAATATAATCATAACATCAACATTATTAATGCAAAGAGCCATTTTTTCCTTCCATAAATAATTTTTGCATAAAGCCACAATTTACACTTGACTCATATTATAAATCTATAGATGGTATTTTCATAGCATTTCATAGCATTGCATGGTTTGCTATTTCTATATTTATTTAAAAAACTAATTTTACACCTAAAGGGCATAAATGGATAGTAATCATCTTTCGACATTAGCAGACCATTGTTCAAGTTCCCCATAAAAACCTACAGAAGAATATTTAAAACCCTTTTTTCTCATCGTCTCTTAGTGAACCTGCTTCCTTTTTGTTCTCAACTATCATAAACCACATGGGCTCTTGAGCTGCAGATTGCAGACCCCTGACCTGAACTCTGATTGTCTGATGCAGGTCCTTCATCGCAGCAATTTAAAGGAGGTGAACAGAAAGTGTGTTACCCTGGCAACCTTACAATCAAAGGTAATGAAATGCATCACGCTGCAAACTATTTCAGTAACGTTTGTGTGGAATGCTTCTCTTTGTCACGTTTTCTGACCTCTCTACCAAATTTGCAGATATGTACTACTTTGTCCTTGCTCCGACTTTGTGTTACGAGCTCAACTTCCCTCGATCTCCTAAGATTCGCATTCAGTTCCTGCTAAGGAGGCTGTTTGAGATGGTGAGGAAATATTTTGCTACATGTTGAGCATCTATCTGTCCAGTATGTTAGACAAACGTACAGTTCTTCAGTCCACAAGTTTTAATAAGGATGAATTCAAGTTAGATATTCAATACTATCAGTAAATATTAAAAATAAATTATTTACTACTTGGAGTTTTTTCTGTCCCTGGTTGTAGACTTTAGGAATCCTATAAAGCTAATGTTTGTCCAAAGACCCAAGTGTAGGGCTCCTGCTCGGATGTAAAATGTGTGGAAACATAAAGTGTTTACTTTTATGTTATGTTTTGGAAAAATAAGATAAATTATGGTAAAATATTTGTGTTCCCAGAGTTTTTTTTTTCTCCATATTTTAATTGTTTTGGTTTCTTTCCTGTATTATTATTCTCTGTTCCTTATAGATCACGTATATATTTCAGTTTTTCTTTTCTTTTTAAAATAATCTTTTTTTCACAAATTGTCACTCACTAAACTTTTTCTCCTTTCAGCTGTTTTTCATCCAGCTTTTAGTTTTTCTCACCCAACAGGTACAGTCTGATATGTCTTGCTTTTTTTTTTTTTTTTTGTTTTTTTTTTACTCAGAATTAAATTACAATCAAAAACTTCACTTTTACAACTGTAATCTCATGTACTAGGATCTGATTGGATTTACATGCTATATATTATTTTTAATTAATCAAAACTCTGTTAAATGTCAAATATTTCATATTTTCAATGTACCAGAGATCTGAAAAATTAATTGAAACTTTTTCTTTGTGTCAGTGGATGGTCCCCATCATTCAAAGCTCAATGAAGCCTCTTGAAGTAAGAAAACTAAATCGTTGATTTTAACTCTCACTTTTGCTCACACTGCAAATTTTTAAGTGTGCTTTGAATCTCCACCAGGACATGGATCTGTCCCTGATGACTGAGAGACTTTTACGATTAGCTGTAAGTAAAGTCATTTCAGAAATAAATTAAGGTGGTAAAATGTTGGTCTTTGTTCTCTCCACATCTGTGGATCTCAAATATTTGCGAGATTCACAGCGCTCCATAAATTTTAGCATGTATATTATTATTTTTATGTTTGCTTATGTGAGCATTTACTTTGTCTTTCAGGTCCCTAATCACTTGTTGTGGCTGATGTTTTTCTACTGGTTCTTCCACTCAACTATGAATTTCACAGCCGAGCTGCTGCGCTTCGGAGACAGACAGTTTTACAATGACTGGTGGTAGGTTTTATTTGTGTCTGTATATTGTTACTGAATTTTATTGATGCATGCAAGCTGTGTGTCATGGATCGGGAGGATTTGTCCTGCTCTGACTCGCTGCCGGTGCTGCAATCTGCCCATATATGTTACTGGGAAAGAATTAGCTATTTAAAAATTAAGAGATTAATATCAGTTGATGTTGAAGATGGATTAAATTATTTTCATCCTGTAGCCCTGTCACAATAATCAATAAATAAACTAATTACATGATAAATTAAAACAAACTCAATAATTTCCATTTGCATGATTTATTACTTATCTCTCTTTTTCTCTTTTTCTTCCAAAAACTGGATGATAAAAGTCTTCAGTTTGGCGTTTTGGTTTCAACTAGCCCTTTTATTGAAGGACAATTTGGTGTACAAGGACTTCAAAATTCATTTTATTTTGTCGTTTTGTTGATTTATTTGGGGTATTTAAAATGTCTTCCAGTTCCAGTATTAAATGTTCATTAGAATTTAAAGATCATTGATCTTCTAGAATGTGTTTCCGCATTGTTATTTAGCCATCAGCATTATCTTGATCTCAAAATGATCTCAAAACAACAATATTATTGTTTATCGCAGTAACTTCTGGAAGAATTTATCATCCAGCAAAATTTGTTATTGTGACAGGTCTATTCATGGTTTGCTTTTACGAGGGCAAGACTTTGAGTTTTTACTTTTACATTTAATCTTAGCACATAAAAATAATTCTTGTCCATGTGTCTCACTGAGATTATAGTAAAAATGTGTTTTTATTAATAAACTGTGGTTACACAGTAGTATTTCAGGAGATGCACCATTCAGTTTTGTGACTGTACCTAATCTTTAGTGTAGAAAAGCCTAAACCTGGTGATACTAGTTTTAGTATTTTAGTCTTTTCCCCTCTGTTACAGTGTTCAGACTGAATATAGTTGTAGTTACATAACCCAGTGAGGCCTCTCTCTGGCGCATTAGCTGATTGGATAAAAGATTAGAAAATTTTATTTCTGAAGAGCTTTTAGTCTGTTTGATCAGTTCTGTTAAAATCTATTTAATCTTTCACTTCATCACAGGTATAGATTTTATTGTATTGCTCATGTTTGATTCACCAGGACAGGACTAACACCTGTTTTAGGAGATTTCAATGCTTAATTTTTCCCTTCAGGAATTCTGAGTCGGTGACTTATTTCTGGCAGAACTGGAACATTCCTGTACACAAGTGGTGTCTCCGGTAAATCACCTGCACACCCAAACATGTTCTTAACAATATACATTTCATCCTTGCATAGACCCAACAATGAATTAAGGAGAAATGCATTTTTTGTTCTCATGTTAAATGCAGTTTATCAAATAATTGAAGGTATTTTCTTTTATGACTGTTTCGCTTTGTAAAAGGGGGATGAGTGTGTTAAAATTCAAACTTTTCACATGTATTTATTTTCGGTTAATAGCAACAGACTAAAAATAAACTGTTCATCTCTGTAGTCATTTCTACAAGCCTCTGCTGAGAAAAGGATTCAGTAAAATGTTCAGCCAGTCAGCTGTCTTCTTCCTGTCAGCGTTCTTCCATGAGGTAAGACAATCGGTCTACATGCCTCCTTCTACTTATGCAGATTATCATGTAGTACACACAAATACAGCTGCAGCATAGATGTGGTACACATGTTCCACCGATGTTATTTTTTTTTGTTTCCTCCCTCGGTTTTTGCTTTAGTACCTGGTCAGTGTCCCCCTCAGGATGTTCAGACTCTGGGCTTTCACAGGCATGATGGCACAGGTGAGAAACCAGATATAATTTACAATACAACTGTAGCCTAGAGTGATCGAACCAAATATACATACATTTTTGTAGAACTTCCAGACTGTTTATGTGTTTCATTTCGAAACAAGCACTTATTTTTAAAGTGTTCTTAATCCAGTGGCAGTACTGTACTGATTTATGTAGTTATGCATTGCACCACAGTAAAGCAAAGTTAATTGTAATCATTTTGACTGATGCAGGAGCTTCAGTATAACTCACTCAAAGTAGAAGCATAATTTCCTTTATTCACCAGGTGGCACAATTTGTTCTATTTGTTTCCATCTTCCTCACTTTCTTTTACATCATGAAATAACAACAACACTCATTTATCAAGTGATAGCAGGAATAGAATACTTGATGTTTGTAGATGACTTTGTGTCACACTATTAAATAAATATAAATGTTAGCAGCCTATTTTATATGCTTTTAAAAATTTGGTACATTGTTTTAAGTCTTATTTTCACTTATAATTGCAACAAATAAACAAATTTGTTGTGATAAATTTATCCTATTGATTTATATAATAATTATTCATTGAGTTTGAGATTTTATTATACTTGAAGATCAAAATAAAAGTATTTCTGATTGATGGAATAATAACACAGCACTTTACAGCAGATGTTGGACTTCAGTTGCAGTCTATTTCTGTTTTTGGCTTAAAACGTCAGGCGAATGGTCATATATTTAAGTTTTACTAGTTTACTTTTGCTTTTTTTTTTTTTTTTTACAATACCAGAAACTATAGTGCTCCATTTAAAAACAAATAATAGTTTCAAGTAGTGACTTGAAAGGAAAGGAGAATTTATTGTCAAAGACGTGATTAGGAAAAGCAGAAATGATGCAGTGATTTACATGAAGATGAAAAAGTCGAGTTAATCTGCTCTGACCTGTGTGTGAGATCTAGTTTATTGTTTATTGAATAACATCTTTCCCAACCTGACTAGATCCAAATGCCTTGACAGAACCAAGGTTTAGTAATTTGATCATTGGGTTCTGATTCAATGGAACTTAACTTTACAATGCAGACTACCAAAGGGGGGGAAAAATAAAATAAAACTTTAAATGTTGGTCAGTAAAACAAAATGACTACTTATTCTTTTAAACTCCTCAGCTTCCATTAGCATGGCTTGTTGGCCGCTTCCTGCGAGGTAACTACGGCAACGCTGCAGTGTGGATCTCCATCATCATTGGCCAGCCATTTGCTGTTTTGATGTACGTCCACGACTACTACGTGATGAACTACGGCGATGGAGTAGAATAATACACACACACAAACCAGTGGAGCTCAGACCTTGTTTTTTTTTTTTTTTTTTCCTGATCTCCTCCCTCTGACTCTCCTGGATGAACAAAGACATAAACGGTACTAAATACACAGCCAGTAACTGATGTCTCAGTCTACATGTCAAGATAATCTCAGAAGATTTTTTTTTTTTTTTTATGATTATGTCATGTTTACGTAAAACGTCTTGTAAACTTAACAGATGACAAAATATTTAATAATATATTAATCATGAAGTACCACTCTAACTATAGCAGAGCCATAGAAAAACTGCTAACTGCAGCTTTATACTCAGGTGATCGGTACTTTAGTGTCTTATTAGAACGTATGATTGTGAGTAGGGGCTGAAACCTCTAGTGAATGCAGAACTTATATGTCAGTGCAAGAAGATAGCATTTTGCTTACTTCTTTATGATGTTAATTCAATTTTCTGACTTTGTGAACAGATTGTATAATTACTGAGGAAAATGTATTTCCATCTATCCATCTATTGTGAGGAGGAATGATTGTATGGGGGAGGATTCTGTTGTCTTTTTGTTTTAGGGTTTTTTTTCACCAGTTGCTGTAAAGTCAACATTACTGTAAGAACTGTTGACTATGAGATTTTTTTTTATTATTATTACCTAAAGTGCCATCTGAAAACATGTGTAGTTTATTAAAAGTTATGATGCATTAATCTTTGTGGGCGATTGCCAAGTGTCATATTTTTAAACAATGTCATATGAAATAAATCTGTAAAGAAACTGGAGAGAGCATTGTATTTTTATCCATCTAGTGGTTATGTAATGTAATTTGTAAGGAACAGATTTGACCATTTGTATAGTTACTGCACTGTAAACATATATTTCATAACTTTTTTCAAAAAAATGGAAAGGTTAAAGCACATATGAAAGTGAAGGTGTGGAATGTCATAAAAGTACCACACAGTTTTTTAAACAGGAAAATACGTCCTGATGTTTTTTTTCTTTTTTTTAGAGACATGAAAGACCTGTTAGTGCAGAGCTCTACTTCCTGGGCCAAATAATTAGGTAATCACCAGGACTCTAGAGCTTGATTGCATGCCATGAAAGCAGTTTGAGCATTTTGTTAAACTGCATTGGAGCTGGGATTCATCAAAAAGTTGCTTTTTATTAAAAGCTGCAAAAAGGATTCAGCCTCTGTAGATGTTCACCTTCCTGGAGGACAACCACCCACCCAGCCAGAGCTGCAACAGTGGTTTAAATCAAAGTATATTAATTATTACTGAACGCATCACTGAATGTTCTAGCCAAAGTGCAGACCCAAATCCAATTGAGGATCTGTTGAAAGAGTTTCAAACAGCTGTTCCGTTACATTTCCCTCCCAGTCAGACAGAGCTTTAAATATTTAGCAAAAAAATGTGGTCAGAAACTGGTAAGAGTATTAGATTACTCTTAGAGACTTAAAATTGTAATTCTCTGCAAGGAAAGGTTTTTGTACATTTTATTGGCTTGGATATTTAAATAAAAAATACACGCAGCACATTCAGTTTAAAAAACTAAATGTAAAATTGAATTATTTACTTTAAAATTCTACTCTATGTTTCTAATGAAGTGCATTGTTGTTGCAAAGTGACAAAATGTGAAATGTTATTTATGGTGGGATAATGTTTATAGCTACTGAGCGAGTCAAATAAAGGAAAACCTCACTGGCTTTAGACGAAACAGCTGCCAGTTCACAGGTTTGATATAAGTAAGACATTCTCTGTGATTTGGCAGCTTGCGGGTTTAAATATAAACAGTGACAAACAATTTCATCTCCCTGCGTTGGAGGGCCACAAAATCAGGTCACATTCTGCTGCTGGTTTAGTCATTCAGAGGGGTGAGGACAGAGCTGCAAACCTGCACTTTGTCAGGTTGACAGAGAATTAAACAGCAACTCTGTGAGAAACCGCAAAGTGTCATCAGACATTCGTGTGCTTTATGAAATGTTAAACAGTCGTTAATAAGGATCAGTTCACCGATGTGAAAGACATGACTTTGGAAGATGCGCCACGCTCAGACTGGTTTCTTGTTAAAAATCATGAATGCTGATATGGTGGATATACATGAAAAAAAATCTCATCTCCACTGGGAAAGTGGTGTGATGTGATGGCTCACGTTTGTTTTCTGCATTTTTTGTGATTTTTAAGAGAGTGAATGTTACCTGCACAAGTAATCGGTTCATCAGTCTTCTTACTGCCAAAATAGCTGAGGAAAAAAGCCAGGGTAGCCACTCTTCTCTCTCTTTCTCGCCACTCATTCTAGTAAAAAGCACAAGCATCTGAGGTAAATGTTCATCTTCAAATATCTGTATTAAGAAATTTAAGCAGGCATGTTTCCCTATCTTTGTTCTGTGTCTGTTCCTGTCTTCCTTTTTGTCCCCATCTCGGGTAACAGGTTGATCCATGGATCTTCTTCAGACATCTGTTATTCCGGATCTTTCCCAGAAACGCTGACAGGTTATGAGTAATGATGATCCTCTTGCCAGGAAACCAGGAGACACAAATCCGTCTCATTTCTCAGGATGGATGGGTCATTGGTTCAGGGAGTATTTATGGTGGCAATGTAAAAGTTTTACATTATGTATATAACCCCACATAAACATGAAACATCTTGCAAATCAGTTGTTTCACTTGCATTTCAGATTTAAATACCTTAAAATTATTTTTATTCTAAAATCAATCCAACATTAAAATTTTTTTTAAGGTTTTTTTTTTTTTTTTTTTTACATTATAGCAAACTGTCTCTGTATTCTTATTAGGAAACTGTCGCTTCAGCTGAGCCAGAACGTCTTTTAACAAACTTGCCAACAAGCAGGCGAGAGACAAAAAAAAAATTGTTTAAAACTGCATGTTAAGGTCTAATTTTAAACATTTATGGAAAACATTGCATTGCATGTTAATCTTTTCATTGCAGTTGTCAGCTGTAGTCGCAACAGACTAAAAATAAAATTAGTAAAAGGCTTTAAAATACATTTGACCTTTACTGCAGTTGAATAATATCAGAAAAAGGTCACCGCTGTTCACAGCGAGCCGTCATTAAAGTCCTCATCATTGTGTGTAGTGGGGTGATAAACGCTGGTCCTCATCCAACCTCGTTGCCACAGTTCCAGGTTTAAAGTTTTAATTATTACTCTGACTGTAGGCATGGACACATTCACAAAAGTTGGCAGTTTCTTATGAAAACACATTTCTTTCTAGCCTGGCATACACTGTGTGTTTTCTTAGTTATACAGGACTTGCCAAGCTCTTACATTTTTCATAAAAATACTTGAATCATAAAAGAAATGCCAGGGACTCCAATAAGTGTGGATTCTGCCTACACTGCACTTTTTGCTCTATCCAGTAAGATTTTTGTAGTTTTATTAGTGTCCGCTTTTACTACTTCAACAAAAGATCAACTTACCAGAGATCGCAATAAACACACCGAGAGCGTTATATAATTTTAGCCCTGCTCTCTACAGAAGTACTTCTGCAAAACTCCACGAATTGTTGCTCTGTTATTTATTTGTTGTTTTTGACTCAAAGTACAAGTGTCTTTTAGTTAAAGACATTACCTAAAATATATTCCCTACAAAAATGAATTGTACTTAATTGAAAATACCACAAAGGCAAAAGAAAAAAACATTATTTTTTTACTTTTATCTTTGTGTGTTTTCAGTCTGTTTTTATTTAAGCTATGACATCATTTATTGTTCTTTGTAAAGTTATGCTCCAACAAGGGTTGCTCTTACATTGTGTGTGTGTGTGTGTGCGCATTGTGAACATGTCTATCCAGAATATAAACACTACAGAGACTTCCTGTCTCAGCACCAAACAGAGGGCTGCTTCAGAATTTGAGGAAGAAAAATGGGAAGGCAGGGACACTGAGAGAGACCAGAGACTAAAAATGATGCTAACACGAGAGGGAACAGAGGAAAAGCAGAAAATAGCAGTAAAATGAGTGAGACTCAAATCAAGAATCTAAGGCAGAAGCATATTGGGATTTTTTTTATATGCTAAGAAGTGATACAGTAAAAGATGACCATGTAAGAAAATAGAAATTACATTTCTTTATGCTTCATTTTTATGGGGAGATATTTTTTGTTGCCTCCTTGCAGGATGAGTCAAACACCTGATAGGTTTGTTGCTTGATGTCAAGTTCAGTCTGAAAGGCTGAGCTATTTAACACATGATTGGTGTTGAACTGAGAATGATGCTTCCTTGGACATTGATGAAGGATTTTCGGCTTTCGAGGAAAGGACAACTTCATTAGGACAAAGCCCATAGGTAGCCTGCCGTTTTTAAAACCTGCTGGTAAGTTAACATCAACATGGACGATCTCATTAAGGTATGAAAGTTGTTTTGTGTGTTTTTTGTTTTTTGTTTTTTTTAACAGGAAATTCATGTCAAATTGGATGTTAAATGTAAATCACATCAAGAAAAAGTTCAGTTTACCTGAAAGGCGTCTTGTTGAAGCGATAATCGGAATACTTAAGATCGGCGTGACATTTCTGTGTCACCATCTCACCCTTTGTTTGTCTTTTTCTCAGTATTTTTTTTTTTTTTTTTTTTTTTTTGTCTCTCAGGCAGTTAGTGCAATCATCCAAACAGGACTCCCACACTGCTGGAGATTATTTGGACAATGTTGTTTTCAATCTGCCTCTAGGCCTTTTGTTTTCCTCGCAGTATCATTTGACAATTGCCTACAATTTTAAGGATGCAGCATGTGCAGAATAGCCTGATCTATGCAGTTCGAATCAAATTTTTTGTTTCACCCAGGTTCGAAATTACAAACACAAACTCTGAAATGTTCATAGACCACCAGTTGTATTTGCTGAATTTGCTTTTATTTTTTTCTGGTACAATGGCAATAACAACCCCTCCCGACCCCACTGAGGGACAAGGGTGTTCAGAAAATGGATGGATGGATGGACAATGGCAATAACATTTCTAATTCTAACTCTAAGTAAATTGGTAGAGTTCGGTGAAGTAGATTCAGAAGAGTAATGGTTGTTTCTCTGTTTGCTTTACAATTCAAACATCTAAACTTCAGCGTTTTTATGTGGTCTTGCTACTATCACAAACTCGGTGAAATTAGATAAATGACCATTTCTGGTTTCATAGATCTTTTATTTATCTGTTTTTATGAACTGCATCCAATCCTCAAAGTGGGCTTTTATTTGTCATTTATTCAGAATTTCCTGTGTTTCACTAGTCTTCTATGAAAGGCCTAAATAATGGAGAGCTGCAAACCTTTTCTTTGCTTGTCACTCATCTCTGTAAAGCCTCTGTTTTTCGCAGTTGTTTGCCATTTCTCTGTGTCCCAGGACCTCCTTCCTAAGCTACTCAATTCAGCTTGAAAGCTAAATTGTTTTTCATTCTACCGGGCTCCTGTGGGAACACTCAGACCTTTAGAAATAAGTTCATACCCTTTCCTGATTTGTGCCTTCCCACAATGTCATTGTGAAGGGCGGAGAGCCACCCTGACCTTTTTGTTGGGCATTTTGCAACATTAAATTGTTGCATTCATATATAATTACATAAATAAAGTTACTACTTATACCATAGCTTATCTACAGCAACTTGAATGAATATTCAAGCCCCTCAAACCTTTTTTTTATGTTTCTTGACTTAACAACCACAAAGTTCAATATTTTATTACTTGATATTTTGTGGTAAACCAGCATGAAATATTTGATAATTGTGTGGACTGTGTGGAGAGACTGGTTTTATTTTTCACTTATCTTTTCTTACAAAATAGCTGAAGCCAAGTAAGTTTGGAAGAAGAGCGTCTGTGAACATCAGTGTTCAAGTCTTACCACAGATATGAACTGTCCCCCCATCATCTCTTTAGCAAAACGCAAGCAGGACTTCTTGTAGCTTTCTTTCGACGACGCTCCTCTTCTCGACGTTAAAAGATAAAAGCCAGACTTTAGAAGATGTTACTGTAAGAGTCCCATTCATTTCCTTCATTGGTGCTAATGTACTGTGGCTGGGCTCGTTTTGGTCCTGATAATGAATCACATTATTCACGCCTCACCCTCAGTTGAGCATATTATTCTCATTACTCTGAGTAAACCATGTTTTTTTTTTTTTTTTTTTTTTATCAGCTGGGGATATTTTGCTGATTATTGTGTAATGAGAATAAAACAGCTAATCACACTTAGCGTCTTGAACTGTCCTCTCTTTGGTTCGCACGACAATTAAACCGCATTAGTCATGCAGGAACACGTGACATGCTGGCCGCCTCCTGGGGTTTTGTTATTCTTAGAGAAATTAGAATTAATGCAAAATGTTGTGTTCATTTTTCCATGTCATGGCAGATTTTCTGCTAGAATATCTTTCTATTTCAAATTGATTGCCATCATTTCATTGACAGGGATTTTATCAAGCTGTGTAACTGCTAAATGTGTTTATGTTGCATGTTGACATAAGCTGTCCCTTTTGTCTTGCTTAAAATAAGCCATCGTTATTATTGTCGGATGTTTTATTCTGTACTCTGACTTTATAAAATATAATATTACATTTGGAATCTCGGCACAAAAAAAAAAAAAACAAGCTGAGAAGACGTTTTATCTTGACAGTAAAATTGTTCTGGAAGTTGCACAAGCCACAGCAATGACTCTTTCCCCACTAAATTACTGCAAACTAACAGCTTAGCTAATCAAATTATATCGTACAAACCAGGAAGCTATAAATACCCTGTCAGCACGAAAACAATTTCTACTCAATTGCATTCGGTTTATTTCAGCTGTGAGAACCATTTACCATCTTTCCTCAAGGAAAATAAACACACAGAGTCCAACTTGAGATTCACAACTCTTACAGCGTTACAGAGCCAGGTGTTTCTGAGTCACTGAGATGAAAAACACATAAATTTAATAATCAGGATTTTTTTCATATGAGTTAAAGAACATACTGTTTGTTTTTCTGATGAGAAAATGGAAACACATATGCCAATGGCCCATGAGAGAGTATTTCTACTGGCAGTAAATGGTATATTTATTTTAGAAATAGCTGCACCAAATAGCTCAGATATTGGTTTTAAAGTGGCTCTGTCAGTGCAGTTGTGCCAACAACAACAAGCATTCTGAGGTCAAACAGAGAGAGGTCACGTCAAGGCAGAGGAATGTAGAAAAAGCTGCCCCTGCTCTAATGCGCATCTTCAGACACTGAATTCAAAATCACAGTCTTGCAAAAGTATTCATAGCTCTTGATTTTTTTTTTCTTCTAATTTTTCACATTAAAACCACAAACTTGTTAAATTTGGTTTCTATGTGATAGATACAAATTGTGAAGTGGAGGGAAAACCAGACGATGATTACAATGTGTTTTTACAGATAAAAATGTGAAAAGAGGGCTGTATATTTGTGTTCAGCCTTAATGAGCCAATACGCAGCAGAATCACCTACAACTTTAAGCCTTTTGAGGGTTTAACTCTACCAGCTTTGCACATTAAGACACAGATTTATTTATTTATGTATTTATTTTGCAATTTAGCCATAGTTAAGTAATGCTGGATACAGAGCAAGTGTGAACCTAAACTTTCAAAACTCCTTGTTGAATTTAGAATCAAAACAAGCACATATAATCATAATAAAATATATTGAAGTTTGTGTTTGCAAAAGTGACTAAATGTGGAAAAGTACAAAGGCTGTGAATGCTGAAAGAGCAACAATGCAAGAGCAACAATTTCAGGGTAAAAAAAAATTTGCTCAATGACTAATGCTGTAAGTGTTTGAGGTTTTTACTGTCATGCTTGAAGATGGGGAAAAAAGTAACACAACAATGGTGAGTAACGACTGAGACTTTGGATCTGCTACTTAGAGGGATATTAGAAAATGATTGAAATTTTATAAAAAGACATGCATGTTGATATTTTAGTTAACTTTAATGTGTGTTCTTCTTTCTTACAGTGCCACTTTTTGTCTGAGTTGCCAGTATCTCCATCATCAACTTAATCCCGTCTTCATGCTGTTAATGTGGGTCACCACCAACAGGATGAACTACAATAATACTGAATCCTGGCTTTGTAGCAACACCTCATTTTCCACCCTGCCCATAACAAACACGCCAGCTAACAGGAGTGGCATGGGAGCGTATCTTGAAAGACTGGCCCATTTAGACGAAGGACTGTACAATGATTTCTACGGCCTCTGGATTGCACTGATGGTCATAAACTCTGTCATATTCCTGGTAGGTTTTCACAAAGCTTCTTTACTAGCTTGTTTCCATAATGTTTATGCAATCCTCCTTATTTCCACACCTTGACCTTTTGCCATGTTTTGCCACATTTGTATTCACTTTACATTGGTGTGCAATATAAAATACCTTTAAAACAAACTGAATTAGCAGTTGCATATACTGAAAAAGTTCCAGGGTGTTTTGCAAGGCGCTGTATCTCTTCCGTTGTTTCTCCAGGTGGGCATGCTGCTCAACACAGTTGCACTCTACGTTTTTTGTTACCGTACGAAGCAGAAGACCACCTCAGTGATCTACACCATCAACCTGGCAGTGACGGACCTCTTGGTGAATCTCTCTCTGCCAACCCGCATCTCGCTCTACTACAGCGGTGGAGCTTGCCTCACCTGCTCCTACATGCACATATTCAGCTACTTTGTGAACATGTACTGCAGCATCTTATTTCTAACCTGCATATGTGTTGACCGTTACCTTGCCATTGTGCAGGTGAGTTATTCCCAATCATTTGTCTCAGTAGGCTTTTTAAAATATCTGCGCTCCAACCTGCAGATCTTAAACTTAGATGTTTCGAATGCCTTGCTTTCCTGTGTCTTTGCAGGTTGAAGCTTCACGTCGTTGGAGGAACTCCAGCGTAGCCAAGCTGGTCTGCATTACCGTCTGGCTGTTTGCCATCGTGGTCACATACTCCTTTCTCTCCACTGCGTTCCAGCACACAGGCTGCTGCATCTCAAAGCTCCTCTTCCTCACAATCACCGAGTTCTTTTTACCCCTCATCGTCATTGTGGTTTTTACTCTTCGCATTATGTGGGCCCTGACTGACCGTCGACTCATGCAGCAGAGCAGGTAAAAGGCGAGCAGAAGAAGAGAAAATCAGAATTTTTTGCTACCAGTTCACACGCGTTAACCAAAACAAGTGAAAAATATCAGAGAATTAACTTACTTTCAAAGCTTTGGAAAATCCCTGATTGTATCGACTTCAGCTGATCACATTTCAGATTATGTTTCTTAAGGAAGCGGAGGAGAAGAGCTGTCCAGCTGCTGATTACTGTGCTGATCATCTTCACAGTCTGCTTCACTCCCTTCCACATCAGACAAGTGAGTAAGATATCCATCCATCCATCCATCCATCCATCCATCCATCCATCCATCCATCCATCCATCCATTCATTCATTCATTCATTCATCGCCATACACTCATTCTGCTATTGAACAAATACAAAAAAAGCATCAAATTCAGAATTATCCCACTGGTCTGGCTAGTTGAGTTAATTTCGGCATTTCTAACAAAACCTGAAGCATGGTTAGTTAAGACATTAAGAAAAATCTGGGTAACACTTTATTTGAAGGGGGTTGAATAAGACTGTCATGACACTTTCATAAACATGACATAACACATGTCATGAACATGAATAAGTCTTCATGAATATTTATGACTGTTGTCATAAAGTGTCATTTGGTAAATTATGACTCTTTTAATACAAAGTTGACATTATTCAAAATGTCTTTGTTTTGACAACTTGTCATTAACCATTAAATCATTACTGTTTAAACTTTACCTTTAATAACATAAAGTTACCTAATTTTTAAAGTGCAATCAGTAATACTTTTATAACAAATTTATATCAGTAATGATTTCTTGGTTCATGTCAAGTTGTCATAACAAAGACATTTTGAATAATGTCAACTTTGTATTAAAAGTGTCATAATTTATCGAATGACGCTTTATGACAACAGTCATAAATATTTATGAAGATTTATTGATGTTCATGACAGGTGTTATGTCATGTTTATGAAAGTGTCATCACAGTATTATTCAGCCCCCTTCAAACAAAGGGTTACCAAAATCTGTATCTCTACGGACACCTGGACTCAACACTACTTACACAACCACTATAATATGGACAAACAGTATGTATCTTTAAATTAAATGTGAAATAGTGGCAATATATGGGGCTATAAATACGTTGGAATCTTAAAGTTGGCAACAATAATGTCTCTGCATCTGCAACAGGTTGCCTGTGCTTAAAATATGACGGCTTGTGACCAGAGCTGACTGGATTTGTCTTTTTTTTTATTGTAGGTTTTATTGTATTTCTACCCTGACATGCCCCATCAAGTGATTGTGTACCACTTAACCGTCACTCTAAGTAGCTTGAACAGCTGTATGGATCCAGTTGTCTACTGCTTTGTAACAAATAATTTTAAGGTGAGTCTCCTGTCTAGCCACTCTTTCTCATTACCATATCCACCTTGAAAACTGTGCTCTCTGCCACACGTCTATCCTTTCTTCAAATCGTGATTTGTTTACCCATCGGTCAGTCATTCACTTTGTTCGTCACTAAAATATTTACCACTATTTCTGTCCACAGGCTACAATGAAACATATTTTCCGTCGTGCCGAGCCAGAGCAGACCAGTGGTGACATTGTCAGTATGCAGCACAGCTCCAAGGCCTCTGGGCGGACAGTTAGCGCCATCACCAATAACAGGATCATGATGACCAGGATTCCCAGCATACGACTGAGAGACATTTTGGATAACAAACATACTCCATGAAACTGTGCTAGCAAGAGGTGCTTGGTTTTATATTTGACAGAGATGAATAGTTTCTTAAAACATTGGTTCATTAACAAAAAAAGAAAAATGCTTTCCCTTGTAATGACCGTGAATCTTCAGCTCAGGACTTATAGTCAAGATATAAGTTTTTAGTATGAGCTCTACAGCAAAAAGAAATATAGGTGGGTGTGACTAATTATGGGCAATGACTAGAGACGGATTTTGTTTGCGACCAACTATCATCATGCAGAGCCAAAGTCATCTCTCTCAATTTTCATCTGGTGATGTTGCTTCTCAGAAGACTAATAAAGGACCTTTGTATCATTGCTTAAAGGATACACAATGAAGTCTCATTGAAGCTTCTTCAGATATAATGAAATGTATTGACATCATTGCATTAAAAAAAAAAGTATTTGCCTTGTAGGCTAATGCTTTTACCAATGCTTCCAAAGTAAGTTTTTTATTTTTAAAAATCCCTACTCTTGCACTTACATAGCTATTTAGACAGTAACTGTACTATGAAAATGTCCCCCAATCTTGAATAAGATTTACAGTTTAGTAATAAATTTAGTACATCTGTAACAAATTATGTGATTAAATTGACATCTGTTATGCAACTGGTTTTAGAAATAGTCAAAATGACATGAAAAACTGCTCTTGTGAAAATGGTGATGAAAGCCATCAAGATAAGTTGCACTCTTTTATGTACTGATCATTATTTTTTTAGAGTCCTTAGAATGACTTCTTACAGTAAAGGAATATTGCTCCATACAAAAATCCAAAGGACATTTTGTATGGTTTCATAAAAGAATTAAATTTAGCAGATTATTTAAACATATTAATAATGTGTGCTGTTTTAATCATATTATTTGCCAATGTCTAAGTTACACCAGTTCAATTTCATATTAACACAAATAGCAACTCAGTCAAGCACATGGCAGAAACTCAATGTACTTAACTATCTAGACGTGAAGACGACAAGCTGATGTTCAAATAGAACATCAGATTATGGGCAAGAGGCAATTAAGTGACTGAATGTGACATGGTAGTTGGTGCCAGATGACTTGGTCTGAGTACTTAAAAAACTGCTGATCTGCTGGAGAAAGATCCAAAAAAGAGAAAATGTACAGTGTGCTATACAGTGTGCTTCAGATGTGTGGATGAAAATACCTTGATGACATCAGAAGTCAGATGAGAACCATACATTTCAATCTACATTTTTACATGAAATACCATCTCAACACATCAAACCGAAGCAGAAGGGCTACAGCAGCAGAAGACCACACCAGGTGTCACAAATGTCAGTTAAGAACAGGAAACTGAGTTTGAAATTCACACAGGCTCAGCAAAATCAGATAAAACTAGATTGCAAAAGTATTGCCTGGACAGATGAGTCTTGATTGCAGCTGCAACATTCAGATGGTAGGGTCAGAATTTGAAATACACATCATGAATGCATGGATCTAACCTGCCTTTTATCAACATTTCAGTGGTGTGTGTGGTGTAATGATGTTCAGAATTTTGTTGTTGAGCATCCACTCATTATAACCAGAGTGGAGCCTGGTTATAATGAGATCTTATAACCAAGTAGCTTAAACAGCTACTTAGAGAGTAGAGCACCTTTGTGTCATGGATGTGCACCCCAAAAATCTACTGCAGATAATTTAAATCTGCAGTAGATTTAAATAATCTTCGATCTAATTTCAATATATTTGAACCTGGAAATTATTGCTGGGGAAGAGGGATGTGTGAGTGTCTTTCCTCAACCTGCGGCAAAGGTAACAGAATGGATACAAAAATATTGACGAAATAAAGTATGTTGACAGGGTCACATTTTTGCAACTGAGGAACTTGTTAAACTAAATTTCTGCAAGAAAAAAAATTGACAAAAATAAAAGCATTGCTCAAAATAGACTCCTCTCCATATCGGTATACTTTTACATGACCAAACTCAAACATATTTTGTCATAAATGAGCAACTCAAACATTTAAACATATCTTAAGTAATGTAATAGTTTGCTTATTTATAATTTCTTGACGTCACGGTCAACACCGTTGTCCACACCCCCTCTTTGTTACTGTGGAAACCAATAAAATAGATGAGTGGAGCGCGTGTATCAGATAGTCACTGAATTAGCTGGAGAAGCTTAGCCCTGACGCTAGCCCCATTTTGACGTTTTTATGGGCACATTTGCGGAAAGAAATTCAAAATGCTGCAATAGTTCTAAGGTGACCAAAAGAAGAAATTCCCAGGTATGTCCTGTCTTTTTGTGGTTTCACAGGAAAGAGTCTTTTGGTGTTAAGTCGTTAAACGTTTGCAGTCGAGATATATTTTAGCCAGCTTAGCTCGCCAAGGTAACGTTAGCAAGCCAAGGTAGGGTTAACGTCAGCGTCCCTACGGAGAGGTGTTTCTACCTGTTTTCAAGTAAACACAGAAAACAGTAAAAAGGAAACCTCTATAAACTCGTCGTGTGTACTTAGGGTGAGAGGCGGGAGGGACAAGTAAAGTTTGCTAAGGCTTTTTTCCCTCGGCAAAACAAGTTATGACAAGTTTATCAAGCGCTCCCCCTAACCAGTACATTCCTTTTAAAAGGAAACGTTTAGACAGTTTTCTTTTTCCTTTTTATCTGAACAAGCTCTCTATGATATGTGTATCTTATATTTACGGAGTTTCGAGTTTCGTTTCTACACGCAGCAAAATAACTATTGGAATGTCGCACATCTGTAGTGGAAAATTTTAAACATTGACATACAGTGAAAGGGAATGATTAAAGAATATAAATGCTTTATTATCACTATCCTCAAAGCTAAACCGCGCTGCCCTTAAAGGTACGTTATAGCATTGAGATAAATCTGTCAATTTAAACAGTGAACACTTGCGCAACGGACAGTGTTGTAATGTGGTTTTTTGTTTCTTAATCTTGTGCTTCAGATGTCATTTTATGGTTTGACGCCTATTGTTTGAGGTTACATTATATAGTCTCAAGTTTATGCATGGGTAAAAAAAAGCTTGAACTTTTGGCTGTATCCAGTTCTTTCCCAAAACTGATTTGCATCATATTTTATGTCATCTATTTTAGAGCAGGGCTACATTTTTCTAAACCTCAGAGGAGTTCTTGTTTCCGATTATGGAAGCCAAAAGTACAAAAATACTTGGAGCACACTGATGCTTTCTGGGACTGTGACTTGCAAAAGTATTCATACCCTTCGAACATTACCACATTTTGCAACTACACACTTAAATGTATTTCCTTCTCCGTTAGCTTTGGTAGTCATAAAATAGAGTTTTTTGCTTGTTCTTCTGTACAAGACAACTTAAGAGCAGTCGGATTAGAAGGAAGTCTTGCCACAGATTTTGAATTGGATTTTGATTTTGACTCGCTGGGTTATTCTAACACGAATATATCTAAATCATCTTTGGTTGTATGGTTAGCATCGTTGTTCTGATGAAAGGTGAACCTCCCCCACGGTTTCAAGTTTTATGCAGCCTTTAACAAGATTTCTCTGTCTTGCCCTGTATCTAGTTTCATCCATCTTCCTATTAGCTCCTGTGTTCCTCCTGAAGAAACTGTAGGGATATTGTCCTCAATGGGGTTTGCAGCTCCGATTTGCTATGACACTTTTGCATATAGGGAAATGGCTTTATTTGTGAGAATAAAATCATGACTATGTTTACTAACTGTGTGACTTCTGGAAGTGATTTTGCAGGATTTCATTTAGGGCATCAAATTAGAAAAACCATGCATGCCACATTTCTCAAATGTTTCATTGTAAAAACATTTTTCTTTTGCTTCAGTGATGTGCAACGTTGTGTTGGTACATCACAAAGAAATCCACTAAAATCCAATGAAAATTATAATTGCTAAAGGAAAAAACGTGAATATGTTCAGAAATATGAATGTTTTTGCAAGGACCTGCGTTTAAAAGGTCAGCAATCACCTACTATAATGTAAAAACAATGTGTTTACAGATTATCTTCTGTGTTACATGTTAACCCTTGTTACTGGTTCAACTGACTTTTGTTTTTTTCCAGATTTCTGCTATTTCCTGTCCAGCTGGATCTGCACAAAGTTGGAGACCCTTCAATTTTTTACCTGGTTTTCTACAAGCAAAATAACTGGAAATAATAAGAATACAACTTCTTTCCAAGTTTTTTATTATTATTATTACAACTTTTTTTTTTTTGTTGTTGTTGCAAATGACTGTTAGGCTCTCCATCACTTTGCAGTTGGGCTTAAGAACCATCTTTTCTGATTTTATATCAGTGTAATCGCTAAATGTCTAATCACTATTCATGGCCTATTTACCCCATTACAATGATGATTCATTTCTTTTAACTCAATATTTCTTAATGCTACACGTGTATTTTTTTTAGAAAAATAAACTATTCCCACTCAATAACTCAGCAAGAGTAGGGCTACGGACATGTGTATTTTTAGTATTATCATTTAAAATTTATTTTGGATGAAACTAAATGAGTGGAGTTGTCTTGGGATTTGAAGGAAGTTGTGAAAGAAACTAACCACAAACAGTTTAAATGAAGTCAGACCAAATTGAAATGGGAGGAGAACCTGAGGAGCATAAGGTCCTGGACCTTCCTGACGACAGAAAGCCTAACAGAGTCATGAAAGATGATAAAAGTGAGGATGAAGAGGAGGAGGGAAAAGCAGTTCAGATTCCCCGATATCGCTGGGTCATGCATGCTGCTGTGATGTTTGGACGAGAGTTTTGCTACGCCATGGAAACCGCCCTGGTGACACCAGTTCTTCTACAGATAGGTAAGCAATACTGTCTTTCTTAAAGTCACATTCCTGTCTTGCCTTGTTACTTAAGTGAGGATGTATTATGAAGTTGAGAAGGAAATTTTTTTATTTATCCGTAGAACCTGTGCTCCACTGAACTGGTATGACGAATGCAAAGCACACATGGTACTTTTCTATGTTGTCCTGCAAGTCCAGTCTTGCAATGGGTAAAGTTATTAGACTCACTCTGCTTAAGTGGCTCAGTACAGCTGCTTCACGATAATGTCGGTGCGATTATTCTAAACTTATGTTGACAAAAGTTACAGCTATCTCTCTTTCTTTGGAGGTACTTCAGCGACATAATTGTGACTAAATTCCTCAAACATTGTCAGGACATTAAACCAATCTGGCCCACACTTGGCCATGATGATGGTGTTTGTTCGTTTTCTTTGTTGGAGGGGTTGGGTTTGAATGCTTTGAGTTTTACATAAGTCTCCATGATTAACAGTTCTCAGGAGATACTGGAAAAACATCATGTAGTTTGTTGTCATTGGATTAGACTGGATGTTTCCGTCTGTCTCCCAAGCTGCACCTCTACAGTAGTACCCAGTGAGGGGCATTAGCATGGTGTTAGATGTCAACTTTGCCAGCATAGCAGAAATGAAACAAAGGCAGTTTCCCCTGCCCAGGTATGC